CTTATTCATTTTTGCTCAGTGGGATTCAGGGGTGGTTCTGTTCAAGCATCAGAAAACTAAACCGTTCAGTTAATTAAATTAATTCGTTCAGTAGTGAAATTCTCTACCTTTTCAAATAAATGCGATTTTGGTAAGGTTTCGAAATCATGTTTCTCATTTTAAGGATTCGGACAGCGACCTGGAAGATGACGTTTCCGCAGAGCCAGGCAATTGTGACGAAACGGCGCCTTTAAGACAGGTCCGGTTTATGACAGGTACGGCCGAATGCGACGAGGATTGTCCGGCCAAAAACACTAACTCGAACACCTCTGATGTGAGTTACAGTTTCTGGTACGTTACCTTTGTGCAGTAATGTTGTAATGCGGTAATATAGTGTCGTTGTGTTCTCTTATAGTGATGTACGCACTGTCGAGAAGGTGCCAAACATAGACCACTATCGCAATATTCTGTCGTTAGGCACCACGATGTCGCTCAGACCGACGTTAGCCGAATTACGGCAGGCGTCGTTTATCGAAGACATGCAGTCGGAATACGCGTTTCCGGTGGTAAGTAGTTCTTTCTTTTAAATGCACTTTTGCCATGCAGATCTGCTTACTTTACTTATTGCGTCGCAGGACACCGATGGTAAGGATTCAAAACCCGTATCGCCGTCGGTAGCTAAACAGCAGAAGAATGCCAACAGACTGGGCTGGATTCAGGGAGTGTTGGTGAGGCATTTCTCTTTATTCGCCGATCATTCAACAACGCATTTGTGTCTCTCTATAGGTTCGCTGCGTCGTCTGTTTGGTTGGCGTAATGATGTACTTACGACTGGGTTGGGTGGCCGGCCAGGCTGGCATCGGTTAGTTCTCTAGTCGACGGCTGTTGACTGTTATTCGTGTTTTGTTGTTTATGATATGCATTTGTTTTTGCACTTTAGGTTTAGGGTTGGTTATTGTCCTTCTTGGCAGTCTCGTTAGCACACTGACGACGCTGTCCGTTTGCGCGATATCCACTAATGGCGAAGTTAAGGGAGGTAAGGTGGCCCTGAAGATGTCGTGTACGTCATAATGTTGTCATTGAGTGCGTTTTGATCAGTATGTTGTCGTATTACTTGATTAGTATAGTATTACAATGTAATAACCATTATCATTACATTGATGAATAAACACTGTTCTCGGTTTTGAACCCTAAATGTTTATCAGTTAGAATCTTATTCGTTAACGTTTTTATCGTTTACTTTTTCCACCAAAGTACTAGGTTCAGCATCAATGTATGAGACATACTTTACAAAAAAGACTTTGGAACTTATGAATTGTTTTATAAATAGAAAATCAAATTTGTAAGAGGCACTTTGACAATAGAAAATGTCCTCTGTAACGTATACTCTTACACTGCTCATTTTGAATTATAGGAGGTGCCTATTTCGTCATCTCTCGGTCGCTTGGTCCCGAGTTTGGAGGCAGTATTGGCGTCATTGCAACCTTGGCCAATGCCACTGCTGCAGCCATGTACATCGTCGGTTTTGCCGAAAGCGTGCGCGACATAATGAAGGTGCTACCATGGTATTGTTTCAGGCATTTCTATTTCAAGTTGTTATTTTCAAGGAGCACGGAGTAAGCATCATCGACGGTTCGATCAACGATATTCGAATCATCTCGCTATGCACCGCGGTGGTGCTGCTGTCCATCGTCCTTTTCGGTGTGCTCTTCGAAACCAAGGTAAGACATGGTTTTATTTTGTATGTGCCATCGTTGAATACACAACAAAACGGTAGTCGGTTTGTTTGTCACAGTTCATAAAAAAAATTTTTTTGTCAGATTAAGTTAATCATCATTTCTGAGTTTTTGCCATCTCCCCTGGACGAATCACTAATATTCACATTTAAGTTCACGAAGAGAAAATAGTACAGTTGAATGAGGTTCTGCCAGACAGACCCTGTTTTATCAGCTCGTTTACTTTTCAGCAGTTATTAAATCACCGTGATTTTCTTCCTGTTATCGTGATCAGCAGCAACGTCGTTCATCATCATCGACATAATCATGCTTGCGTTTATCATGATTACGAAAACGGATCATAAAAACAGTCAGAAGAATGAGATGGTTGGGGAAAAGAATCATCGCTGGCAACCGACTGACATGCGGAAAAAATCAGGCAACGTTGGCAGCAACTCATTTCCTATCAGTTATTATTTTCGCCATTATTTCATCTACTTTTTGTAGATCCTGTTGCCGTTCTCCATGAGAGCAATGATTTTCATAAGGAAGATATTATTGCTATAGCAGCCACTACTGAGCGCCTGTTTTCAGTAAAATAAAGGAAAAAGAATTAAATCGCGTTAAATACTGGTACAAATATACAAAGCATAGCTACATTAGGCAATGTAAAGTAATGTTGTTTCCTACTAAACCGTAGTTTCTCTAGGTGTGCGAGGATGCTAAGATAATAGATTTTCGACATAGCTGTGTCTGAGATGAAATATTGACAAACTGAGATCTGTTGGATGTGCTGCGGGACAGGCATTGCGCAAAAACCTTATGAAAGGGAGGGCAGAGTTTTAAAGAATTTTATTCCCCAATTGAACTGCGTGAGCAACAGCTGATTCAGCGACGTGTTGTGCTAAATTCCCACGTCTAAGGCCACTAAGTCCAGAGAATAACTTTAAAGATCGCCTCATCGCTTTGAAGTCGCACGCTTGCAGTCCAGCTTATTTATCAGTACTGTGGGAGAATGCATGCGAAGACAGAAGTCTTAATAGCCTGTTCTGGAGCGTTAACCTCTCAGTCTTTTGGTGTAAAAAGATGCTCTGCAGCAGCGACTAGAAAGTGATTTAACATGTTGGTGCTGGGAGAAGTCAGAAGGTAACTTATAGGTACCGGGGTACTGGTTGGCCATCACTTTCGGGTGTTCCGAGGTCGACGAACCCCAATAAGGTGGTGTTTTTCCCATCACACAGGTCCATTTTTTAGTCTTTCTTGGGTTGAGAATGAGCCTGCTGTTACAGAAAAGATGGCAGATGGTAGAAACGTCAATTTCATAACAATTTCAGTCTTCAGGCGATCATAAAGAGCTCACAGTGACATTGTCATCAGCATAATTTACACATTTGAAGTGCCCGTCAGCGATAAAGTCGATCATACAGATATCAAATGACAGTTTAGCTTAGTGTTATACCCAGATTATTTACCAAGATGCCGGATTTATTCCGACAAATTCTGTCAACCTGGCAGCAAAAAATAGTTAGAAAAATAGTTCTTTAGCCATCAGACGATGGAGGAGTTAACAACCAGCGCGCACAGTTTGTCCAACACTTTATCATGAGAGCTGTGTTAAAGATTAATGACGAATCAAAAACACCGATCTTGCAATACTACCGCCTTTACCTAATTCTTCGCCGATTTCATTGGTTAAACAGGCAATGGCATTGTCTGTCCTAAATCCTGTTTTCAGTGCAAACTAGTACGAGTTCATGACGTTCACACTGCAATTCACCCAACTCTTGCAGTTTCTGTTGGTTGCTGTTCACCTGACAGCATTCATTATTTTCGTCATAAGGAGCGTCGTATAGTCCTTCTTTTGTTTTTTGTCTTCCTCTCCCTTGTTTTCAATCATCAGGTAATGATCATCATCTTGACGATCACCTGTCATCATCTGCTTGATCACAGTCATAATCGTAAATGTAATGGCAATGAAAGTAAAGACATTCATTTGTCAAGGCATCAGCGAGAGATCAGGTAGTTAAAAACCATTGAGTAGTAAATATTGAAGTGTGACAGTTTTTGTCATCATTCATGTTTCTTGCGTAACTACAAATAGATTTTTATTATTTACAAAGTGATATGTAACAACGTAAACGTAATATAACAGTTTTACTGTTTACTTTAAGCGAGCTCTTATTTTTCCGGCATATTCTTCCAAGATGTACCGGCTTGCCCTCTTGATCTCAAATTATGACCATTATGATGTGCGACTATCATCGACAACAGTATCGCACCATAACTGGAAGGACACCTGTCAGACCCACGTAGTACTAGGTTATTTTGTCAATCAGGATAAAACCTATTACGTTGCGTCCAGCACTCTGAAATCTCTTTGCGGGATATAGGGTCGATGAACTTTATGCTTCTGACGAATTAGTTCAGATAAAATTTTGTTCCTTGCATGACGACCCTAGAGTCATTACTAATTTGTTGTTAATAAACAGTCTTCATAGCTTGTACAATTTATTAATTCGCTGTTTATTAGTATATGGTTTCATAATGATATCAGCACACATTACCTTTATTTCTACCATATACTGTTAAAACTGAATTGTTTGCAAATGATTCGCTTTATACTGAAGTTAATATTTTCTCACGCTGAGAATTTTAGGCGCAGTTGATTCTTCTTGGTTTCCTTTTGCTTTCCGTGATGTGCTTTGTTATTGGCAGCTTCATCCCACCGAACGACTTTAAGCAGGCACGAGGAATCACTGGCTACTCATGTACCGGAATATTTTTAGTCCCGGTCTCGTTGCGTGTTAAACGCAGTTGTAACACTTTTTCTTCCAGGGAAAACAATGCAGCAAAATTTTTATCCTGAATGGAGAAATGAAAATTTTTTCAGCGTTTTTGCTGTTTATTTTCCGGCTGCTACTGGCATTTTGGCAGGTGTTAATATTTCGGGTGATCTCAAGGTGGGTAGTTATTTTATTATTTTTGGTACCTACTGTTTAGTTTCTGTCAAGGTATTCTTTGCGTTACTAGCGACCTCGATGCTCTTCCATTGTGATCAGATCAAGTGTCTCTGCAGATAGTGTTCTGTCAGTAAAGGAAAGGATTCTCAGTTACAATCTTCATTCTTATCAGCATAATATTATTTACTACATCGTATCTTGTAATACGGAAGATTTGGCCATATGTTGGTAGCACGTTCAGTCTAAGAAAAGTAGCATGACATAGAGCCACATCAACGCGAGAGTTCTTTTGCTCGTCACACTGGCCGTTGATGCTGAAGATGATGAGCGGATATAGCGAATGCTTAATTCCCACGGTTTGTGCATAATCACCTTTAAAATGTTTTCCGATGTTTGCAGGGACAAGCGTTCACATATTTTCGTTGATTGACCGTTGACCGGGTTGAATTGGGGTTTCATTCAGATGGCGTATTGGCACAGGCGTAAAAGGTCAGCTTTGAACCCGAACACCGAAAGTGCCATATCCGATACCAGCGGCACGTAATCTTTGTCTTTACCACAAATTCCCTTAAGCAAGATGTTTTCCTAACCTATTTCAGATCGCGGTTACTCGGTCGGTAGAGCATTGGACTCAGAACAAAGAGTTTGTAGGTTCGAGCCATTGTCAAAGCCACTCACCTTCCTTCTAAGGTTAATAAATAAGCACCATGTGATAGATGAGTGGGAAGGAAACATGAGAATACGGACTATATTGCTACATAGCTGTTGTCGATTCTGCCTTAAAATGCGACATTTCTTGGCTGATGACATGGATATAGAGAACAGCGCCCCCATCATTGACGTCATGACAGAAATGGTGCTAGAATTGGCTACATCAAGTGGGTGTAAATAAGACCGGCTTTCCAGCGGTTACGAATTTGCATTTCTTCCTTTCCACATTGCTACTGTAGTTCCTGAAGACAGCAAATTCCGCTGTATCTTAACCTTACCTGGCAATTCTATCAGTAGTAGATCCTTTCTTAGCCCTCCATATCGTAAGCTAGAGATGGGATTCTACTGGGTCGATTTATTCTCCGCTATAAGCAAAGATTTTTAATTTAAAATTTAGATTTAACATTTAGAAATTGTTTATCGAGACGTTCCTGCAAATAACGTACATCTGCAAGCTAACTGTAACGAATGACCTATTGTTAAGTTGTTTCGACTCTGTTATCTTGCTTCCAACGGCGAAATAGGGGACTCTTCTCAAAAAACTTTTTCTCTCACAGATTCATTTATTTTCATTATTTTTAGAATCCAGGCAAGGCTATTCCCCGTGGCACTCTTCTGGCCATCTTCTGTACAACTACCACTTATGCAATTTGCGTGCTTATCACTGGAAGTACGTGTATTCGGGACGCTTCGGGCAGCATCGAAGATCTGTACAACGGGACGCTGACTGACTGTGCTATGCACCAGAATTGTTCTTACGGATTACTGAACTTTTTCCAGGTGCGTTGGTTGTTGGTGTCATCGCTGCGTTGTATCCTAACGCTGTTTCTGATTTAGGTGCTCGAGTTAGAAAGTCTGTTCAGTCCTTTGGTTCTTGCAGGGATGTTTGCTGCTTCGTTAAGTTCAGCTCTTTCGTCCCTTGTTTCGGCACCGAAAATTTTGCAGGTAATCATCGGTCTAGGTTAACTATTTGAGCATCTTTATTATACCATGGTGTGAAGCTTCGAATTTTCATGATTTGGTATTAGCTTCGGATAAACCCGCCACATAATCCAATTCCTCACCTCCCCGTTTTACTTCAGTGCAGTCAACCAAGAAACGTATACGAAATCAATATCCTGTGAACACTGTGGTATGCTGACTTGCCTTCCTAGAAGATGCTGTCTGATGCACATACTTAATTTCTGGAGTGAATCATAGCCCACTATAGAGTTGAATACGCTCAGCGCAAAGTATAATCCATAAGTCAGTGAGGCCTTTGAAAAAACATGTTTACAGGTTGATTTAATAGGTCTTCTGATTACATGGTTGACAACATGAAAAAGCACACAATCAGAGCATTTTTTGCCATTGAGTCATTGTCTGTACGATACCGGTATGAGCTTAAGAAATTGTTTACAGGTTAATGTTTTCAAATATTATGGCCGTTGTCAAAGATGCAATAATTTGAACTTAAAGGTTGGAGGCACAAATTGAATCAACAGAATTTAACAGTGGATCATGATTTCGTACAATAGAGAATTTTCTCATTTATATTACGGATAATGTCGAGCAGTCCAAAATATCGCTGTGCTGTTACATTATCACATCTCAACTTTTGTTTTCCAACTAATGGAAGATTATTCTTTGCATACTTCAGCATGAACTTCAGAAAGCTGTAGCAATTGACAGTTTTTTCCTGTTTTCCTTAATTTGTTCGCTGATTCTTATTCGAAAATTGGTGGACGGAGCACAACGGAGTTCATTTCTCAATCTCACGTTTCTGTACGTTGATTAGTTTCAATCTGTGCTATAGTCTGCAGGTTATTTAAGTGACCAGTCCTGTACTTTTTGCGAAACGTAGCAAAAAAGAATGGTAAATAAAAACAAGTGTCATTTTTCTGAAAGCCAGAAAATCTGAATGCTCTGCACATGAATGTTCTACGATTTCAACTGCAAAAGCTAGACCATCATATGGAAAAGTAGTCAATCCTCTCAGGTAATTAGAACTGAGCATTTTGTTCTTTTAAGCGAAGCTGTCTGCCTTCCTTAGAGTCCGTTTGTGCCCTTGGTTCTGATGCAATAATGGTAAAAGTTCTTGTGATATGCACAAATGAGCTTTCTGGTATTACCGTTGCCTGAACTCAATGGTCATCCCACACTGTTGGCGCATAGCCAGAATCACTCCTGTGTCAGATAAATCAGATGATTATCGATCCATCACGGTGACTTCACTTCTGCTGAAATGATTGGAAACCAAGTGAGAATGTTAATTTACAACTTGGATTTACAGAAGACCATTCCACGCTTGATGTAATCGCCGATTGCACCGATCTTTTTGCCACAGCTTTGGACGCAAGTAATTTTACAGAAGGAGACCTGTTTATTAATCTCTCATTGGAATTTAACATCATACCAGAGGATAGTGCTCAGGCCTCTCGAAGACCACCGACACTTCTTCTCATCTCTTCATGCGGTTGGCAGGCTATTTTTCAGAAAGTCAGTCGTTTCTTGTTTGCAGGGAAGCGTTGTTCCTCAGCGCTGACGATTTACCTTGGAGATTCACAGCAACGATGTTGTCCCGGTTCTTATGTAACTTGTATATCAGCTTGCTCCAAGTCGGCTGCCCATAGCATAGTAGTAATCGCGCCAATCTGAAGCGTTGTTGATTAATCAACGTTGCAAGATGTAGTGAACAAAGCGACAGGGTAGGTCCAGGATTGTGGCCTAGTAATCAACCGGAAGAAAAGCACACAGGTCCTACGTCATGAAAAACACAAAGGCTGATGGATTGCTATGCAACAACCTATTACAATAGAGAAGGAACCTGTTAATTTGTTGGCTGCACTTGAACAGTCGGTTTGAGTAAGCTGACAACGCCGCTTCAGTGTTCACGAAGGTACGCAGTGGTTTGTTCTACCTAATCACTTGTGCTGCTGAGACTCTCACTTCTACCTTCGAGCAAGATGGTTCTACTGTTTGTTTTCGACTGCTTGCTGTAGCCTGTCACATATTTCGAAACTGTGGTTTTCGCCGGATTCCGGACGAGAAACTGTCATTGTGCCCCGCCCAGTTCTGCTGATAAGTTGCACTTGCAGGATTGATCGAGCAGACATCTGTGACCCAATAGCTAGTGTAGTCATCGAGACTGCCATGCGCTAAGGGCGAACGTTGAATGACACCAAACATCATTCAGAAGGCGGTTTTGGTGCATTTTGGGACCAAAGGCTTAGTAATGCCCTCTTTGCACATGCAGAACTGTATCATGGATCTGCCCTTCACCTCCACGACTTTCAGAGGATCAGAATAGCAACAACAAAATGGGTTATACAGAGCGTTGTGCCACAACGTTCAGTGCGATGAAGACTTTTTCTTTTATATAATTTGTTCATCGTTGCTATTTGACTCATTGGCATGTAAATGCCACTTTGTGCTAATGATGGTTGTCTAATCGGATAGACTTAAAGTAGTTTATTTAAGTCGCGTTTTTATGGCTCTGATGTATTAAAATCGTTAGAGTGCAAAAATTCATGATGACTAAATAGTTCACTAACGGTAACTTCGACCGTAGCGCGTACTCATAATGCAGTGATATGGTCAAGTTGTGAACGGTCAAGAATGAACAGATGCTGAATTTGCCGATCTGAGGGGCGACAATCAGAACTGCTCATGGACTTCTTTCTAGCCGCATTGTACAAAAAAATCATTCCAAAATAGAATCTATAATTTATGAAATGCGTTTCTTGAAGACGAGAAAAATTCAAGAACTCGACTAAATTCGTCGGCAAAAGTGTTAGTGATATTAAAATGTCATCTTGAAAACATACTGGAAAGAAATTAGCTGAATCAAGGAATAGGATCTTTTGTTGTTCTTTTCTTCTTCTCATCCTTTCTTTTTGTTTATTTATCTGTTTTGTTTTATTTTTTATTCTTTTTCTTCTCTTCTTTTTCCGTTATCATTAGGTGTGCAATCGATTTAACCTGAGGTCAAGAGTTAAAAATATTGATTGGATCAGTTCACAGTTCATCGAAGGAACAACACTGGAGAATTGGATCTTAACATTTACAGAAGGTTTCATTTAAGCCATTTTTGGTGTTGATGGATTTCCTAAACTATGATACATGAAATAGCACTACTTTTTGCTGTTATCGCCAAAGACCACAGTTCCTCGGCTCAAGAGGTTTAGTGCCGATCACGTGCTTTTGATAATGTTCGATCTGTGCCATTTGTATTTGGGTAATTGTATCTCTTCGCCAGTACTGCCGCTTCAGATTTAGGAAGGTTATGCTTTTTGTCCTACCTCAAGAGTAACTAATTAGCTTTTCTGTAAGAACTTACGCGAAGAATCTTTTAGGCCTTGTGCAACGACAATCTCTTTCCCTACTTGCAATACTTTGGCAAAGGTTTTGGAAAAACGAACGAACCTCGAAGAGGCTACATCTTGACTTTCCTGATTGCCTGTAGTCTAACCACAGTTGGTATGTAAATTTGAAACTGATGGCGGAACTTCTGTCGAAGACCGAACTTGCTGTTACAGGTGATTTAAACCTCATCGCTGCTACAATATCAAACTTTTTTCTGGCCACGTATTGTCTCGTCAATTACGCCTGTTTTGATGCTTCTCGTTCAAAGTCACCAGGTACGCCATGC